AGAAGATCGTAAATAGTATACGGAACAAAATTAGAACGATGTATTAAAAATCCAGCTTCAAATGCCTCAATATCTTCTTTCTTCTTATTTCTAGATTAAAATTATTGGTAATAGTATTTCAAAAAGTTACGAATACAAGCCGTTTTATGTTTTCTATCTCTTAATTGTAAACAAATACATTCAGAACAAAACTCACCACCGAGAAATCTAAGAGCAAGGCTGCATTTTATTAATAAGAACTTACTATATAAAGAATATCTGACTATCAGTAAATGATATTTTTATGGGCGGAACATGACACACTATGGCGTTCAAATATTAGTAAATATATGTCATTAATAAATAATTTCCTTTTATATTTATCAACAATATTTATAGCTTTTGTTATTCAAGAATAGAATAAATTTGCTAAGTATTTACTACCTCAATATATACAGCACTGCGTTGCTACCTCTGAAAATCCAAGATGGCCGCTGTTCACCCCACAGAAAGCTACCACGAAAAGGTTATCTACTGTATATACTGTGGTTGGTTCACTCGCTGTGCTTTGTTGTGGGCGCTAGTGACTGTTTCGTCTCTATACCTTTTGAATTGGTTGCCAAGTGGTTGGACTGGTAGGTTGTTTGGTGGTTGTATGTTTCTTTGATGTGTAGGTCGTCGGAATCGTGTTGAGGAATCTATTTCCATAGGTTCTACTCTGGGTTGTTGGATCCTTTGAGGAAATATGTTCCTGTTGTTTATGTATGTTCTCGTGGCTTTTAATTGTGCTTCTTTATTATGTGATGCTAGGACTGCTTCGTTTTTATACGTAATTTCTAACTTGGATAGGATCAGGTTTAACGCTTGACTCACTTGATCGTAGTATTCATGTAGTGATGAATTTCCTTGTTGTAACCTTCTCATTTCATCTTCCAGGCCATACAGTGGTCGTTGGTCGGCATAGGTTATGTCAAGCCGATCGATGATTGCATTAAAATTAGTTTTGGTGTTATTGTTAACCAGGACCTGTGATGCACTGCCGGTTATTTTCCCTAAAATTATGAGCACTGCTTGAGCAAATAAGTTTGTTCCTTTGAATTGCATAATGTTATTCATAAGAGTGGTCACTATTTTTCTCCATGGTCGATATTCTTTAGGATCGCCGCTTAATGTTCCTATTAGTTTGAACAAGTTTAAATGTATCTCCTGTGCATTATTTTATACACATATGTCGTCCTCTTCCTCCGTTAATGTTGGATTAGCTAGTTCCGTTGAAGCTATTTTTCGCTGTAGTTCGGTGACTATAGTCTGGAGTGCTTGAATTTCGCCGGCCATTTTTTAGGTTTTAACTTGTTATTAAATTTGCACTTTTTATTTATTTTATTTGCGTTGAGTTGAGGGATAAAGGTTATCCTTTTACTTTTTATCAGGAGCCACACGCGTAAGGATTTTATTCACTGAATCCTTTTTTGATCTGTGCCCCACGTTGGGCGCCAATTAATAACAATTGGGTTATTTTAGTCAAAAAAATATTTTAGTTCTGCATTGACAGCAGAACGTTCTTTATTTGGTAATCTTCAAAATACAAAAGACGAAGCGTGTATGGTTATGCTTCTATTTATACTAATGGGTAATCTACAATACATATAATTTGTTGTTCTTGATAATGGTGTAGTTTAGTGTTATCACGTACTTTGGACATTGACCACTATGATAGTGATGTATTGTAAGTTACATGTGCCTTAACTTGGGCGACATATTTACATGAGTAGATAGATATGTTTATATGTAGGTTTGCGTATACATTATTTGTGTGGCAATGTCATATGCACATATGTAAATATGTGTATGTACATGTAGAGCAGCGTGCATATTATGTTACTGATAAAGAATAAAACTTGGTTGGAAATTGATTTATACTTACATATAGTATGTATGTACATATCTGCAGGAAAGATGCGTATGAAAGTTTTAAATGATAAAGGTGTGATTTATATATATTATTGCTGTAATATATTAGGTTTTTTAGGATATTATGATAATATATCATATATGTACATACATACATATATAGCAAATATATGCATACATATGAAATTATATTACATTATCAAAGATAAGAAATATTTAAAAAGTAGCTCATTTGCCCATTAACTACAAAAATTGCTTAGAGAATTGCATAAATTAAAAATAATGTTATCAATTTTCATGAATTCATAAAAATTCGCAAAATCATATTCATATCAATTGATATGATAGCATGTAAACGTACAAAAATATAAGCCAAAAGGCCAACAGGCGTCTGTAAAAACAATAGGAGTCCTCGCTTGCTCTTGCAAAACCCTTGCACGGTGCAAGAACTGCATATACATATTTCCTCTTGCTGCACCGGCACAACAACAAACACACGCAGAAAATTATTTGCAATAGCTGTAAAATATGTCAGACCAAAACCCATGTATATTTGCGGGCAATGTCACGCAAAAATATAACTGAAACCCTGTTTTAGCTGTCATTTTACGTAAAGACATATTACGTCGTTAAATTCTTGAGGAAGGTAAGTTTTAAATAGATTTTATAATTTCTACTTAAATTATAAAGATTTGTTAGTTTATTTTTTTTTTTAAATGTAAGCAGAAGGTACGCCAATTCAGAATAGCCATGCATAATAGTCATTCACAATAAATTGATCGAATCAGTCGTTCATATATCATTAGATTCTGCAATGGGTGCTCTCCTGCCCTTGTATATTTCGGTGTAGTATTTTTGCAATCTGCAATCTTGCAAGAGCAAGCGAATACCCCTAATAAATATTTTTGAGCATAATTTTCATTGAATTCTTTGCTCTGTGCACTAATTTCTGTTAAAGTTTCTCCTGCCGAGCCAAAAGTGGTGAAATCCACTAACAGAAAATTGATGGCTCTTGACAGTTCACACACATGTCCGTAGTTGAACCTTTTCTATAAATGTACGTTCTCTGTCATAAAGTATTTCCCTGACTTTGATTCTAGTAAGTTGCAAAAGTATAAAACGTTCGGTTGCACCTGAACTTAGCCCTTACTTACTTGTTTAAGTTTTATTTTTCTTTTTACTTGAAAACGGGTATAAATACCAAATTTTCTTGCAGATTCACTGGCTTTGCACTTGAATAATTTTACATCATCTCTATTAATTTGCAACTTTGCTAAAATTTTTCTAGCCTCTCGAAATTGATGTCGCATTTTTGAAAAGTTTGGGATGCATAATTGAAGTTGTTCAATACACTGTGCATTTTTAAAGCTCTGCTTCACAACGCTCATCTTAATTAGAACTCTTTAGAACTATTTCTGATAAATCACTGATAATATCAAAATAACAAAGTTTTATTGCAGCTATCGAATCGATCCTCCTGATCATCTAGTTGGATTTATTTTTTTAGACTGGTGTCCGTTTAGCCAGTGAATTTTCGGTTTCAAGGACCCCCTGATCTTTAGGGACCTAGGTAGCTACGTCACTACAGATATGGAAAAAATAGACTTTAAGTATACTATTGAATAGTATCTCAAAAAAGACCGAAATCGACTATTGTGTTCAGACCGTTTGCGCAGCTGTCGCACAGGGATCAGCTGTTTATAAATTTGCTGAATGACAGTTTGGAGTATTGGTTACAAGTGTACAAAAGCGTTTTGCCAAAAGTGAACGCAAAAAAAAAAGAGATCAGCGATGGGACTCAAACGTAATAGTATGATTGCTTTATATTTAGCTGGAAAATCACAGCCAGCAATTGTTCGTGAGCTCAAACATATTAATGTGAATAAAGTTTTTGTTTATTGCACCGTCACTTGTTACAATGATACTGGTAGCATCACAAAACGCCATGGAGGGGGTCATCAAAAGGCTGTAACGTCACGTGGGAAGGTTCGGAAAGTGAAGAAGCGACTTGAGCGAAATCCACCGACGCATATTGAAAAATTAGGTCAAGGTTAAGCCTTACAAGTTCCAAAAGGTCCATGATCTCACACCGAAGCAGCAACAAGTAAGACTTGAGAGAGCGGCCGGGGCAGAATGCCGAAAGCGGTCAAATTCCGAACATTGTGTTTTCTGACGAACAAACTTTTCCAATTGATCAATTCGTAAACTCTCAAACCGATGGGTTTACTTGACCGACCGTTCATACCAGAATCTAAGTCATCGGTTGGCCACCAGTAGACAGCACCCGCAACAAATATTGGTTTGGGCAGCTGTCACCGCAGATGGGCGCTCTCCAATTGTTTTCATCGAGCCTGGCGTCAAGACAAATGCGACATATTATCGGGAAAGTGTTCTGGAGGCCGCCTTGAAGCCCTGTGCAAACAAACATTTCGGTCGCAAACCATGAACGTTTCAAGAAGACTCAGCACCGTCTCACAAAACGCGAGTGAACCAAGAATGGCTGAAAAACAACGTTTCGAACTTCATTACGACCACACAATGGCTCTCGAATTCACCAGATGCGAATCCAATGGATTATTCTCTCAAGGCCATTTTGGAAAACACCAGTCTCGAGATACTGACTAAAGCCATTGTTCGTGATTGGGCCAAAATAGCGGTAAGTCACATTCGTGTTGCTTGCGATTCGTTTTTTGACCGTCTCGAGGGCATAGTTAAGGCAAAAGGTTGTCATGTCCTGAATTCATGATTATTTTCACACATTTTGTAGTTTAAAATAAATAAAAATAATTTTCCAAACCGAATTTATGTCTTTCTAATTGGTTAGACTTCGAGTGCTTGTACAATGAGAGGAAGATGAGTTCCTGCATGCGCGAGTTAATACTTTAACCTTTAACCACAACCTTATCTTTCAGTAAACATTAAAGAAAAATCATCAAAACAACTTTATCTTAGAACAATAGAAGCTCACTATCAGTACAACAAACAATAACAACCCAAATAGTTGTTTACTAGTAAACAACTAGCATCTCAATAGTATGAGCAGTGATAAGCATAGCCTATATAAGCAACTGGAACAATAGCCTCGAGGTCACTTTACCATTATCGACTGYCGAGTAACAAGTTACCACTTGTAACACTTGTACAGATAAGTGTAATATATTCGATAGTGTAGTACGTGTGTATACGTTGAAATATTATACAAATAAAGGATCAGTCAGAACCAATCTCATTGGCTGACTTRAAATTATATATTTATTTTATTCATAACGAGTAAATAAATTAACTCGCGCAAGGAAAAGTTCGCTTATGAAAACGTCTTGGAGAACATTTGTAAATATTTATTACATTTGTTTCCACAGGATACAACTGTTAACGCGGCTGCCCTTGTATCAAAAATGCGAACGCTTTTAAAGGCGTATAAAACAGCGAATGAGAAACAGACTGGAACTTCTCGGTGCACAATACCGTATATGTCGGAAATGGATGAAATTTTTGGTGAAAGTTGTTTAGTGTCTAACAACCACGCCATAAACATTGGGACAGATCCTTAAAAGGCATTCATTGAGTCAAGTGGTTAGTTAAAATTGAATTTCCATTACGTTTTGCTTATATTGAATTCGCTTTTTTTATATTTTTAAACAGTCAACTGATTTTGAACCAATTTCATAAGCCAAAATTAAAAAAAAAAGTTTGAAATTTGACACTGTATGTTGATACATATTTTATAAAATAGCAATGAAATTAACGTTAAATAAATTTAAAATTTGAGACAATAAAGACAGGCGGTGCAGTGAAAATAGCTTTAAAATTATGTCTTATAATAAATTAAATTACAATATAAAATCGTGCTTAATCCCAATAAATCGAAATGAATATTGAGAAGAAAAGTATGTGCTATATAACCACGCGATTTTTCCGTACAAATATATTGTTTTATTGTTTTAAAACTATTATTCTACAAGGGACTTTTTGAGTGATCTATTTTTCTTTATACATCGAATTAAGTAATAACAAGTAAGGAAGGGCTAAGTTCAGGTGTCACCGAACATTTTATACTCTGGCGTGACAAGTTTCATCAAGATATCCCAATTTTTACTCAAGTGACAGTTTGCACGGACGGGTAGATAGACATCCGGATTTCAACTCTACTCGTCACCCTGATCACTTTGATATATGTAACCATATATCTGACGATATATACCGTTATTAGCAACTTTATTGCGAGCGTATAAAAATGATGCCCTCTGAATTACATGAAAATATTTACCGATATTTTCGATGAAAAATTAGGTTAGGTGAGGCACTGAGTTCTTCGTGTTCGATATCAGGGACCTTGAAAAGTTATAGCCCGATCACGACAATTTTTCCACAAGGGATACCTCAGCTCAAATTCCGTATTTGTGTAAAGTTTTATTCCGCTATCATCATTGGTTCCCAATGTACATACATACATATTATACAGATAAGGCATCAAAATAGCGTTGTATTGGAAGAAGGCGTGGTTTTGAACCGATTTCACCCATATTTCGTACGTGTCATCAGGGTGTTCAGAAACTATTAGGTACCGAATTTCATTGAAATCGGTCGAGTACTTCCTGAGATATGGTTTTTGTCCATAAGTGGGCGACGCCACGTGTGGGCGTGGGGTGGTTGAAATGCCTGAAGGAGCGACTCTATAGAGTTTGGTTGACATAGCTGTAATAGTTTCCGGGATATGTACAAAAAACTTAATAGGGGGCGGGGCCACGCCCACTTTTCCAAAAACATTACGTCCAAATATGCCCCGCCTAATGCAACCCTTTGTGCCAAATTTCATCGAAATCAACATAGAAATGTGGCAATTGATTACAGTTCAGAGCAAATTGTTGCTATTGGACTAATGAATATTGTATGTCCATATAGCAATGCATTGAAATTCAAAAATGAAGCCCTTGGATTGTGTTGCGCCAGCGGCCTAGTCAAATTGACGCCATTGGTACCAGCACAAGAGCCACTATATTCATTGGTTTCCGGAAATCGGATTCTAATCCAGCAATACAGTAATTGCTTTCAAGTGACATCATTTGGCGCAACAAAAGTTATTCGAGACAATTTTATGCCTGCTTTCAAGGTAAGTAAGTATAATGGCAAACAATTCTATTTAGTTTTACAACCATGTAGCTGGTGCAAAATATGTTGAGCCAGTGTTGTTTAGATGTGTTTACAAAGTGTTCCACTACTTGGTAAAGCCTACTACTTAAAGCTGCCATGGAAGGCTACTGTTCAATGTTGAAGTTTAGTTTTAATTTGAAATGATCTATAAAGTATTTTGGTAGTATTTTGCGAGCCACATGGTGGTACAAACAATTTGCTATAGAATTACCTAAATACATATTTATACTCTTGCAGATTCAGGGTCAAATATATCATCGAACAGGTTCCTTATTGGCAATGACTGATGAAGACTATAAATTTTTGCAAACATATTTTATGGGCGATACAGCAAGAGAAGTCGATCAGCGTTGCGCACACAACAACTCAGTGAAATGATCCATTGTGGAACAACTTCAAACATTTTTCCATCAACACAATGAATTAGTTGCATTATTCACAGCTGCATTAGACCGCATGCCATCAGATAATCATAAAATTGTCATCAGAGCCGATAAGACGCCTGCAGGACAATATGCTGGACGTTTTAATGCACCAACAATTGATGAAGTGGCTATTGTCGTCGTGGGAGAAAATTTAGAAAACCGAGACATTCTTTTACGTCGGCGCAAAGATCAACTTCAGCGTGTGTCTAAAACACATCGATCATATGATGCCTTACAATACGCTAAGGCGGTAAGAAGTTCGCGGGGTCAGCTGGCTTTTCATAATTTTTTGTATTTAAGTATAAGAATGAACGAGTCTATTATGATATATTGTTTTTTAATTTTCTTCATCATATTTATTTGAGCTTTTGTTTTTTCTCACTTTTATCAAATGTTTGTTTTATACGCTATTTTATTCAGGAACGTCATATCAATGTGAACTTTCACGCCTATATATCCTTGAATTGTGATGTTTGGAAAAAGGTTCATTTGCAAATAAAGCTAAACAAGTATGTGACGACATAACCTGTAGATTTGATTGGGATGGCTATGAATGTATTCGAAATATTGTTAAGAAAAGGCTTGATTACGTATTTAAAATTTTGCAGAAATGTGTAATGAAAACCACAGATTAAAATCAAAAGTTATACAAAAATATTTGAAATGGTTTGCACAATATAAATATATGTATATTTTTAAGACGACAATCATCCGTATTGAGCCAAGATTGAGGACGTTCTAGATTAAGTCTGGTAGAGTGCTCAGAGAGAACGAACCGGCGAAGGATAGCAGATTTAGCAGAACTCGATGTGTCCGCTGCTTATGACTTGCGATCGGCTTGTGGGGAACCGAATAAGTCGATCTTTCGCCCAAAGACATGTGATCATATCACTTATCACCGAAGCAAATTTAACCAAGCACCAGTATTAACTTATTCGAAGCTTCGTTAACAATAAACTTGATGTTAACTTCTTACCTTGCTATGATAATATTTTAAAGGAAAAGCAGAAAAGTTATCCCGAGCAAATAAAAGTTTCAGAAGCTTACGCTGAAGTTGAGCTACAAAAATTATTAGATCACACTGCGTCGCGAATTTTAGAGTGGCAAAGAGATGTAATTAATGAACTCATTGACTCCTCTAATTACCCAACATTAATAGAAAACTGGGTCTTTGATGACAGTTCTGGGCAGAGCGAATATATGTAAAAACTCGAAAATAATAATTTGGAAGACAGTAGTTTATTTGTTACGTCATATGTCCCTCTACAAATGATAATAAAATCGCAAACTGATGAATAGCACAAACTAATTTGGAAAAACCCTCGACCTTCATCCACTCGCTATTGCCGTCCTGTTCGAATTCAGTTTCAAAAGGAATCATTTCAATTAACCCTAAATGAAGAATAATATTTTAAAAACAAAATTCAACACTTAAGTCCCACTGAGTTCAAAACACACCGATTTTTAACGACGCCCATACATCTGCTAAAATAACAGGCATGGAAAAAGTATTAATTAATTAATATTAAGTAGTAATTGAGCAGTATTACTACAAGCTTTATCATCAGGGTACAAAATTAATGTGGAAAAATTTTGGAAATTTGCGCTAGATACTGCAAGAGAATTAACATCAAAGTATTACTGGTATTATCTTCCTGCGTCAGTCCATAAAATTTTCATTCACGCTCCCGATGTTATTCAATATGCATTAGTTTCAATTGGAGAGTTCTCAGAAGAACCTGCTGAGTAAAGGAATAAAGACGTTGGAATGTATCGACTCCATCATACACGAAAGAAATCACGTGTCGCTACAAATCAGGATTTATTAAACCGATTACTCTTGAGCTCAGATCCTTTCATCTCTGGTCAAAGGAAACTACGATGCAAAAGTAAATAAATTTTATTAAAATCAGTTTTTGATTTAATAATAATTCTTTTTTTGTTAATCAACTTGTTTATTATTATCATCGGCGGTTGGTGGAATTTGAAACCAGATAGGGCTTTGGAGCGGTTTATTTATGTTAATATAATTGTTAATTACAATTTAAAAAGCTTAGGAAAAAATCTCACTTTAATATAGGCAGTGGAAGTATTTTTGGCCAATTTTCATACAAGACCAACCACTGTGCAATGCTCGACGATATGCCAAGTACTTCTAGGCAGAGCTGGTCTGCACTAAATCGTAGGATGTGCACACCAAAATGAAGTGTATCCACAAGAGCCTAACGCAGCAAATTCTATTCCAAATCATCGTTATCGTAAAAGCGCTGAAGAACGATATTTTGACGAAAAAATCGAACTAAAAGGAAAAAGTGCTGAAGAAAGACGAAATTCTACGCGAACATACAAAACCAAAAGCAGGATTTCGTTGAATAACGCGATATGCAGATGCAAATTAAAAAAAAAAAATTAAAAATTGAACAGAAAAAAAATAACAATAAACGAGACAGACATGTAGTAACAATACCATAAATGGTACAAATACCATATGTGTGTCACCATGATATCTTTACTATGGTATTGTTATTACATGTCTGTCACGGGTATAACGAATATATATTGTCTTATTTAATGGAAATATACAATCAAGACTATCATAAAATGAACATTTTTTACACACAAATCTTTATAAATATAAAACAAATATGTCGTAAATTATGAATAATTTTACTATTTGAGATTGAGTCACTGTATATGTACTCGTGCGAATTTATATACATACATTGCACTGGAAAATGTTGCTGCAAAAGTACATTTTTAAACATTTATTCATTTCTTCGTATTCAAATTGTAAGCAACTGATTCCGACGATCTCCACTTGCTTCTCTCGTCCCCTCATTAGCAGCTTCTGGCTCCGGTTCGGCACTTTCAATTTGATGGTCAATAATAGTATCGTAGTTTGTAATAATACATATGTATATTGCACATATTGCATGCACTTGCAACTAAATATGAAATTGCACATAAATTTCTGTGCTCCGTAAATTTAAGAAGCCTTCGGAAACGTCCTTTCAGTGCTCCAAATGCATTTTCAACAACTATTCTTAGGCGTTAACGACCCATAATCTTTGAACACCTGAACCTAATCCTCTCTAAAGTTTTTGTAATTCCAAGGTGCCCTCCACTAGGTCCGTTGTGATATTCTTTCAATACTTTCGGGATCATGGACTTCCGTACTATGATCAGCAGACGAGACTGTTTGCCATCTTCGCTTTCCCAGGTACGATGAAGGTATCCATTAACGAGGTTTATGCTGTTCCATTGGGCCCAATATGCTTTTGCTGTTGGACTCTCGCTTATTTGTGGTTGTCGTACACCATTTTCTT